GACATACATCTCGTTATCAATAATGTACGAAGTTTGATATTTGATAAAAAAATTTACAATTCTTATGTCAATTGTAATTATGGCCATCATGGATATGTTATGGATTCAATTTGTTTTCTAATTGAATATGAGTAGTCAGTTGAAAGCGCTTGAAAATAAAAAATGCAATGAATGGCAAAGGGAAAACATCGATCATTCTTGTTTGAAAAAAAAATTTCTTGTGCAAGCTTGTATAAAGTTAGAGAGATGTTGAAGGTTGATACAATGCTATACCAAATGGAGACGTCAACGTTTGTCCCTACAATGTCTAAGGCTCCAATTGTAAGAAAACTAGTCATGTTTGCTCTACTTGTAAATGTCAAACAGCTAGTAGTGAAACTTAAAGTTGTGCAATTGTAGTGACTTGTAATTTTATTCTTTTGTATTTATTGGAAGCACAAAATGGTTTACTAGATTTTGTAGTTATTGTGCTATTCTCGCTTTTATGCTATTAGAACAACGTTAAAGTCTTGTTATGTTGTGATATTTTTTTTCACATTACAGACAAACGACTTTTATATTGTTATAGTTGACGCGTATGTCGTTTCAATATGAAAAATGCATAGATTCATATAACGACGTTAAAATTGTTCCTGAAACATAAAATGATATTTATGTCATTTCAATACGAAAATTGCACTAATTTACATAAAAATATTGAAATCGTTCCTGAAACACAAAACGAAATTAATGTTGTTCCAGTATAAAAATATGCCACTTTATTGATTTTCATAGTGGCTTGAAGTCATTATAGAACAATAATATGACATGAATGTCGTTATATAAAAAACTTACATAGCGCACGTGATATGGGGAATCGTTGCGCTCGCTTCTAAGGGACCATTTGTTCTCGAGTGGTAATGATATTAATATCATTATATATCTATATTGTTGTAGTTATTATTTAAATTTGAATGATTTCAAACACGTCAAATTTGTACTAAAATAATATGGACATCGTTATATTATTTCGTGGTCTGCTACATAACGATATAATTATCGTTTCAATACAATTTTGACAACATCGATATCGTTTTAGTTTAAATCATAAATAAAACAACATATATATCGTTTAAGTTTATATAAAAAGATATGTATATCGTTTGGTCACTGCAGTCACTGAACAAGGCTCGACGAGCCACGAGCGGCTCGTCTACACGACGAGCCGAGCGGGCTCGACTCGCCTACGGGTGAGGCCCGCTCGGCTCGTGCTCGGGCTCGTGATTTCATGAGCCGCCCATGAGCTGCCCACGAGCCCTTTTTTCACGAACCGGCTCGGCCCAATTGACATCCCTAAGTGAGAATAAAACAATTTTTTGAAATGCAATATATATATATTTTGCTCATAGGAAACAAATGACCATCACTTGCTATAATGGTTGTGGAGTTAAAATATTTTCTTGCAATCCAAGGTTCAAGTCACGGCTCCAACAAATTTAGAAAAAAACTCCAATCTCTTCTTCATTTTTGTTTTACAAGTTAAGAGTAAAGAAGTCTTTTGACACTTTTAAGTAATTAAAACTCCTTTTATTTTTATAAGTTTGGTCAAAGGCCAATTGAACAAAATGTACATTAAGAGTGGTCATCCCAACTCATTTCCCCATATATTAAAGAAGATAGACATGCCATAAATTTTGCCGATTTTCATATGATGTATAAAGTATGACAAAATTGTACAAACATGAATCTTAAAATCTCAAATTTTCTTACTAATAGGCAATGTTGAAAAATAAAAAACTTAAAAGTTTCATTCATTATTTAATCTAATCAGTATATCATACCAGAAACATGAAATTTAAATGAGAGGCCTACTAATTTTAGGAAAATATACATATGAAGTTCTTTATTGAATTTCATCATTTTGTAAGGGTAGTTTAGTCTTTGTACATTCTTAACTGTGTATATATATGTTGATAATCTGTACGAAGCTCTAGAATTTTTAGTTGAATAAATGCAATTATGATTCGCGCCATTTTTCTCTTCGTTCTCTCTCTCTCTCTATACTTCATCATGGTATCAGAGCATTAAATCTTCCACGCGCCAATGGAGATGAATTCAAGCAATCTAGCAGAGATCCAAACTAAACTTGATCAAGTTAACACATCAGTAGATCCGGCTGATAAGGAAACAGCTACTGGAGATGCAATCTCACTTGTGAATCGATTGATCTTCGATCCAAACAGCCCCTACTACTTGCATTATGGTGATAACACTGGAATGCGGCTTGTTTCAGTTGTGCTTACTAAGGATAATTACACTACATGGAGCCGTGCTGTGATTATGGCACTCAGTGTGAAGAATAAAGAGGGATTCATTAATGGATCGATCGTGAAACCGCCTCAGGAAAATCTTCTTTACAGTGCTTGGAGGAGATGCAATCCTGTGGTGTGGTGTCATCTTGGATTATTAATTATATCCCGAAGGAACTCTATCTGAGTGTAATGCACAAAGATTCAGCTGGTGAGATTTGCATCGAACTTAAAGATCGCTATAGCCAAGGTAATGGCCCTAGAGTCTATGAGATTAAGAAACAGATTGCCTCCATTTCTCAAGAAAACAATTCTGTAAACTCGTACTTCAGTAGGCTTAAAGGACTTTAGGAAGAGCTTGACAATTATAGGCCAAGTATTAATAATGTTGATTACAAATCTGAGGATCAAATCATGCAGTTTTTAATGGGATTAGATGATCAGTTTTCAAATGTGAGGAGCCAAATTTTGTTGATGGATCCAATGCCTTCAATTAATAAAGCGTTTGCCCTAATTTTACAAGATGAAAGGCAAAAAGAGATAGTTGCTAAGAAGCAGCAGAGTTTCGATGCTGCCACCTTTGCTGGTAGAATTGCTCATGGCTCATTTGGTAATCAATGAGAGAATTCTCCTAATAAGCTACAAAGGAAGGACAAACCTATGTGCAGATTGGGCATCTTAAAAGCAAATGCTACAAGTGGTTGGCTATCCTCCAGGACATAGGCTAGCAAAAGGAAATATTCCAATTGTGAATACTGTTGGTTCAACATCTCATAATTTCAGTTCAAATACCATCAGCTCATTATCAAACATCACCATTACTCCAAAACAATGCCAACAAATTCTGGCCATGCTGGCTCCATAGCTGAGAGGGACAATTGCCAGTAGCAAACAGCAGCCTCTAGAACCTCACCAGGTGCCAAAGGCTTTTGCCTTCTCAAGTAATCATTTG